TGCAAAATGAGATAGATACATTATGAGTGTAATAATCACATTATGTGTATTTAGATGTGTTCAGTTTCCCTTACATTTTGTTGAAGTGATGGTGAAATCTTGGTGAAAGTTTGAATTACAGTTATTATTTTAGATACTTTCATGCAGCATGTATGTATTCAGGTATATTAAATTATACTTTATTTACTTATAAACTAGAAAATGTTCTTTTAAAATTATTTGTTAACCACAAAACCAATTGATATAACACAAAAGATGCATGGTGGAAATTGAAAACCCCTTGAGTCATTAAAATCACCAAGAAAAAAAAATATATTTTCCCCTTTTGATTATAATTACAGTCTATAATCTTGATTGAATATGTATTCGTTGACATAAGCCATCCATGCAAGAAATTTGTTCCCAATTTAATTCTGTTTTTAAATGTTTTCAAAAAGGATTGTGAAAGCCCAGAAGTTAGTTATGCCAGTTAGACTGACATAAAATTCCTGTCGCCATAGATATCTGCCCAAAAAAACCCAATATACACATGTTTCTCAGCATTTAAAATATTAATATGTAATATTTTGATATATATCACAGAATTATTGTGATATCACAGAATATAATATTTTACTGGCATGTAATGAACTTGCAAACTCACTGTTTCTTTCACAGTTGCATCATTTGGGAGGGTAGTAAGTATTTAAAACATTTTAAAATGAGCATTCTGTGCTAGGAACCCTATTTTTCAGTGTGGAATCCAGGCCTATTGTCATTCAACTATAAAAAATATAAATCGCTCTCTTGAATGATGTACTATAAAACAGCCTTTCTCTACATAGACAGAATTATTTTGCATTTTTCCATTCTACAGATGTAAAAAATGGGATTTTTGAAAGAAAAAAAAATCCAGCAAAAGTATTAGCGTATTAGCATAGATTATCAGACAAATATCAGACCCAGAAGACCCACATATTATTTTCTTTTTTGTTTGCTGATTTACAATGTTGCCTACAATATATTTCTGCATACTTCAGTATAGTTTTGAAAATATTCAACAGTTCTTTCTCCATCCTTGGAGATAYTCAAAACTGGACAGGACTCCAAGCAACCGTATCGGATTTCAGAGTTGTCTCTGCTTTGAGTACACGGATTGGACCAGATGATTTCCAAAGCTCCCTTCCTCTCTGAACTATCCTGCAGTTCCCTTTAGACTCCTCCACAGATCTCCACAATGTCATCACTTCTTCTGATGCTACAGCGTGCTCAGTGCTGCTCTAACTCAGCAGGTTCTTGGCCAAGTCACCTGGGCACAGTAATTTGTTTTGCACAGTATAGACAGCTGGCTTTCCTTTTGAATTTTTACTTTTATATTTTATATTTTATATTTTATATTTTATATATTTTTTTTACCTTTATATTTATATAATATTTTATTTCTCTTCTTGAACTCTTAGTCCTGTCTAATCCTAATCAGTGTAGAAAAGTAAAGGCAAATCTATCCCTTTCACCTCAACTTGGCACATCAGACTGACTTCTCTTTGTAGTATGTGGCAATGTTGGTCATGGTAGTAGGACTCAARTCACCTAGCTTTAGATATTTCCAGTGCAGGTCTACATTTGTGCTAGTCAGCTTCAGATTCATTAGAACAAAAACCAGGCATCTATTAAGTGTTATTTTAGCTTCATGTTATATATTCATCCTGTACTCAGAGCTTAGATAGAACTACAGGTATCTGATAGAACACAGGTATCTGTGTGCCGTAAAATGCAGGTGTTATAGTCAATAGCAAAAAAAGAGGAAATTCTGATGAACGATTCATATATTCCATTTTTAAATGTCCACTCTAGGATCTGCTTCCTTCCGCCGTAATAAAGGAGGCTGTGATAACTTTCTCAGATAGGATATCTGCAGTGCAGATGGGCACATCTGATGGATGAATCACTTCTTATTTTCATTTCTTCACACGRTGTTCCTGGAAAATCCAATTGCATTATTTCTCTGAAAGCTACAAAAGCTTCTGACTGACAAGAGGAGAGAAGAAGGTGCTTGATTTCAAGAGCTAGATTCTGTTTTTTATTTCTCTCTAGTMACTAGAGAGAAACGGCACTTACAGGGTACAATTCACTCCATCCTAAAGTAGGCACCTAAAATAAGTCAGATTAATTGGTCCCTAAAAATGCCTGTCACTTTTCCCTGTCTGTAGGAAGTTCGCAAGACAGTTAGCTGTGCTGTGGGACAGCTCAATGAGATTAATTCTACCTGGGCTATAAAATGTTGGGATAAAGATTCTCTCACTATGCTCATTAATATCTCTTCACATCTTGCATAAGACAGTCTGTGCTGTTTTATATGTAGCACAGCACATAAATGTGCATTGACTGAAAACTTCCTTAAGGACTGTGAGCAAAGGCTATGAGCATATTGTAGAAAAATTCTTTATCTTTCAGGCTACCAAATAATTGTTGGTGCTGCTTGTCAAAGAGGAGTGCTGAGATACAAGATATACTTGTAGATTATATGAAATTGGGCAGTGATGTGAAAATTAGGCCAAAGAATTGGATAAACGTATACTCTATTGTCAAAATATAGAAAAGAAGTGTTTCCATGTGTGGAAGGAAATGAACAAATGTAAAGACATTCAGCTTGAGAAACCTATCAATCAATAATTTAGAAAAAGGTGTGGAAAAATAACAGATGGGAAGCAAGTTAGGACTTTGGAGAGCAGTTTGGCAGCAGAATAGGTTAAGAGAAGCAAAATCAAGACAGGAAGYAGTCAGGTAACACAACTTTTCTTAATCTTAGAAGTTGCACCCAGAATGTTTAAGATTACCAAAGATAACTGAGATGGGAAAATGAGGAAATTAAAATATAGGCAGCTTGGCACACCTATAGGTGAGGGATTTAGATATATATCTGCATATATATATATATATGCAGTTCTTAGCGAGATTGTTAGCACCAAGCAAAGACAGAAATTAATTAGTTAATTCCACCTAAAAAAGGGTGGGCTGGAATGTGACAGCTTCTGTTCTGGGAATTCTGTTGCAAGACTCATTTCAGGGACTTCATAAAAAGATGACATTAGTGAACAGAGTAAAACCCAAACATATCCTAATAAAATGACAGTCATAAATGTCCTCATGATTTAATATACGGTTTCTTTTAAATGTCTGATTTTTTTTTCCTTCTTATTCACATTGCTTGTAAATTTAGATTTCCATGAATGCTCTACAACACCAGAAGTRTCCTGCTGTGGAGGAGGTGGGTTCACGTTCTGTAAGGCACAGGATAAAACGGACCTCCTTTATTCCATGTTTTAGTGTAAACTCAATTCATGAAGAAGCAAATTTGTTYCCTAAAATCTGCTTTTGTTGTTGTTCCTTTTTAATATAAGGCTAACCCACCTTCTGTTTTTGAAAGACACAGTGGGAAGAGCTGATTTTAAGAGTATTTTGTGGCTGTCACTGCTGAGTATAGGGACTTGCTTCCTTGGATTGAAGGCAGCTCAGGCAAGAAGTACTTTGGGATCTAGTCCATAGGTTTCTAAGATGAAAGTGCTGGTTGTACTGCACTTTTGTCTCTCTGCCTGGTGGTCTACAGTATCAGCRGTACTGAAGGTGAGAAGGTATGCCACTGGCCACGCTTTTTCCTCAAAACTGAGCATTTGACATATGCAGCAGAGCTGGAAGTCTCAGGAATGCTCCTATGTCCACCAGGACAGAGAATGCCTTCTAGCCCATGGACCTCTCCCTGTATCATTCGTCTGTGGTTTCCTTCTTTTCTGYGAAGGTGGTAACAGCTGAAGAGAACAGTTAGAATTTCAAATTTCAACCTTATTTTTGAGAATAGAAAACGCTTATTCCTATGGCAGAGATAAATAGGTTTATATTTTTAGTCTGTCAGACCTTCACCTCTGGGAACTAAACAGGGTGGTGATACAACCAATGTCTTAGGAAGACATTGATCACTGATAACTTACAACAAGCAAGAAAATGTTGAATTAGGATTTAAAGATGAAGAATCCTTTCTGTATTGCCTTGTTACTCTTTTACCCATCTGCTATTTTTCTTTTTTCCATCTGCTGCTGGTCCTGTTGAAGACCAGGATACCAAGCTAAATAGATAGTTGATCTGAGCCATTGTAGAAATCTTTCGGTTGTCTTCTGTGGGGGATATAAACCCATGCCTAAATTTAATGTTGTGAATTCCTCTAGGCAGCTGGACACCTAAATGTAAAGTGATATAGTATAWGTTGCAGACCTTAGTGCTCATGTGGAAAATTCTAGCCCCATCCCCCAGTACTTTAAGGAATTAATTGTRTGTGAGAATGAATAGATAGAGAGGGGACAAGGCATAACATCCCTTACAAACAGATGCCCTGGATGTTAAATTAATTTTGAGTAACTGGCTTAAAGTAAAAATAAAACAATAGGTTAAGCTGAATATAAAACAAACAAAAAAAAAAGATATGTGACTGTCGGACAATTTCCCAAGGGAGATGGCCAGAAACTGTCACTTTGCCTTTGTTATTTGTTAGCATTCTAATTTGAAATTCGAAGGAATAGAGCATATGGAACAATGCAGGAATGCAAGGAGCTAAACTATAAACTATGAACATCATGCCTTGTAGATTGATTCTGGAGGATATCATTGATCCACAGACCACTAAGAACTAAACCACTGTCACTTCTAAATGCTTCAGTTTACAGGAAAAGCAATAATACTGCTTTAAAAAATTTTCATTATCGAACCACTTCTACCATATGACCAATTTATACTGTTATTAAAGAAAGGATAACAGAGGCCCAATTTTTTGTTCTTGAYAGTTTTCCTATTTCACAAATGGCAATTTCCTTTAGGAATTTTAAGATTAGCTGGATAAAGTGGCAGTGAAGTGAAACATATGCTGGTTAAGATTTGTACTTTCCATGAGAGCACATAGGAAACTATGAGATCGATGGTGAATTTTTTGCAATCGGCTCCAGGCTTGGCTCTGAGTGCAGGAGAGAAGTCATTTAACTGTCTGTTTTGGGACATGGTTCATTATTGCACACATTTCCACAGTCCAATGTTCTCTTGTTCATCTGGATAATGGTTACCTTAGAGTGGCTGGTAGGCTCTCCATCGGTGGAGGAATGAAGTTGGCAGTGCAAAAGCAGACGAAAGCATTTGTAAAACTGAAACAGCAAACAAAAACATAGTGGCAAAGTAGGCTAAAATTCAGAGCATCTCTATAACCATCTGAAGAAGAAAAAAAGATCACACTTATTAAGCAKGTACTTTTGGCCAAATTGTCATTAAATATTTTTTCATTGTGAGACCATGCTTCTTGCTGCTTAAGACTTAAGTTTACTTATATTTGTGGACTTTTCCTTTGGAATTAGTATTTTTATCTTCTCTAAGACCACTGATTCTGTAGAATTTAAAGCTGCAGAACAATCTAAAACATTTTCTGAACCTTTCATTTATGATAAAAGATTTAATCACAAAAATAATTAGTTTTGAGCTACTTCACAYATGAGGCAGGAAAACATCATTTTGATAATCTAATGATACACAGCAGGAGGAACATAAGGTTCTTTTCATTAGTAAGCTGTTGAAATCTCTCTGTTCCCAGTCTGCAAACTAAACTTCCAACAATGGCTTTGCTTAATTAAAGAACCAAAATAATTTTTATGTTAATTCATTTCACTTATGAGAATTACCCACAGCACCTTTAATGCTTCATGATTCCAAAGCTCTTGTACAGAAAAAAAACCAATTACCTCAGTTCTCATTTGTAAGTGCCAAGTGAACGGTATTAACACAGCTGTCTCCTTCTCTGAGAGCTCGCAGTTGTATTCAACAGACAGGAATGCCAGTTGTGCAACAGGTGCTTCACTRTATGTTCTATAAATGTTGAGTTTTATAAATTAAATCTTAAGAAAGTCTCCAAGGCTTATTCAGCTCCATTATTTTCCTTTCAATTGGCTACATCAACCAGAAAACACTTCCCAACTGTGATTGATGTGAGAGTGTTGCTGTTTAGACAGCGCTGGTGATCACCAGTAGCTCATACTAGTCCCTTTGAAAATGTGCAAACTCAACAGTAAGATTTCTCTGATAATCTAAGCTATAAAGACCCTTTCTTTGTGCAGATTAATCATCCTACCTCAGGAAAACAAATTTTGCATAAGCCTTCCTATCATTCTCCTGTATCTGTCATGGTCTTGGGTTAAGTAGAATAACAGCATCCTCTGATTGCAAGTGACCTTTGGTTAGCAGTAAATGAATTCCATAAAGCAGACCTTTTTCAGCAGTAAATGAATTTCCATTTGGCCCGAGTGGCTGTTGGCACTACTGGTAACAATGACACTGACTTGTTGCAAAAAAAAATCCACTGGCATTTTGCAGGTTCTTCTTTACTATGTAGCAGGTGGTYAGGTGCTTTTCCAAGTGGCAATGTCCCCCTAACAGGGAATTCAGAATTCACCTTCCTCAAACTCTCTCTACAGGCCTCAGAGAGAAAGGACTTTTAAACTACCAATACATGGCTGATTCTTCTCCTGTCTGCATGTATTCTGGCTGCTGAGACTCCTTCTCATGTCTGTCTGCATGTATTCTGGCTGCTATCTTGGCAATGTTTTCCTGTATAGAAAGAAGCAAGTGGATAGAAAAAGTGGAGTATGTTCAATTCAAGACTGAAAAAAAACATGATGGTAAAGGGAGGAATACTCGATCTCCTGTCAGTGATTTCAACCRACCATCCAAAATCAATGAAGAAACATAGGTGGTACTGGCCCATCTTTTCGTTCATGTTTCTCCTTACCATCATGTACAAAAAAAGAGGAAACAAGCAAATTCTTCATATCCTTGAAAATGAGCATGTGTGTAAATATTTGCAAGAAACACACTATCTGAAAGCTCAGAGAAGGATGGAAAGAATCTACCATTTCATACCATCTGTACATAGCAGGTTAGAATTTAGCTGTGAAAGTGATAGAAATAACAAGAAAGGCGGAAATACCAAGAAAAGATCCTAAAAACAAACAAAAACAGGCAAATAGTTCTGTGTGTTCCATACTCTGCAAATGAATGTAAAGACCATGTCTGCCTTGCTAAGTAACTTCAGGAGTCAATGATACACAAACAAGGCATGTGTTAAAGCGGCTTCCTCCCTTGACAAATCCGCTGATGCTTTGTCAGACATTTCCAGGCTTCTTATTCCTTCCTTATGTTCAGTGTCCCATCCTGTCAGCTCTGCAGAGGACTGCAGTCTTCATGTATCAGCGACAAGTGAAAGCTGCCTTACTAAAATGGGACGATTACCTCCCGTAATGATCTCAAGCAAGCACAAAGCAATGTGTGGGCCGTGCAGCACATGAATGGAAGTGAGGAAGTAAAACTAGACTGGATGATTGCACGGGTAATGCCGGGAGAAAGGTAAAACCCGGGGTTAACTTTTGTTCTCGCTTTCTGCTCCAGGTATCCTCATCATGATGTCCATGTGTAATGAAGTGCACGTGTATGAGTACATCCCTTCGGTTCGACAGACCGACCTCTGTCACTACCATGAACTGTACTACGACGCAGCCTGTACCTTAGGGGCTTACCACCCACTGCTCTATGAGAAGCTCTTGGTTCAGAGGATGAACAAAGGTTTGCAGGATGATTTGTATCGGAAAGGGAAAGTCATTTTGCCAGGGTTCAGGTCTGTCCGGTGCCCTGAACGGAATAACTTCTCGCACTTGTAAAGGAGAATCTTTCACAAACAATGTGCAATAAGGTACTACTGTTGTACTAAAAAGAAGAGAATACTTGAAAAATGCATCTTAGACCAATCTAGTCTTGAGTCTATAAATTGTAAGTAGCAGGCATGAGAAATACTTTTTTCTGAGCCTGAGTATTTATTACTGCTTTGCAAATAGTTAAAGAAAAAAAAGCTTAGCTCATGAAGGATGCAAAGGACATAATTAGGCAGAAATATAATGTATTATTGTGGGTGTGACTGTCAGAATTTGTTGGTGGTCTCTTATGCCACATGTCCTAGATTGTAACTTTTTTTTTTTAAATGAACTTGATTTAACTGTTAAATCTGGCATTGAGAAAGAACTTGTATTGTTCATGTACAGAGCCAGCTGAACAATGCAGCATTTCTCGTGGCTCCATGGGATTTTCACACTCTCCAAGAATGAAGTAATTAGTGCTCTGAGCTATGCATTCATTGATTAAAGTAGACTAATTCTCATTTAGACACAGGCTCAATTACAGGCCTCYAGCAATATAAGGGGTCTTATGGTGGCTACAAAATCAATGCAAATGGAAGTTGCTGTACACACAGCTAAACCAGTTAAATGACATGTCTTTGATGTCAGATCCCCAAGCAGAGGAGAGAAGACAGAAATTTCTCCTTTCTCTAGAGAGCAAAAAATGTTCTGAACCTGGTCTGGAAAAATAATTCTCGGTGGGGGACTTATMCAGAGAGTGTAGGCAAGATTGAACTGATGCTTTAGGGTGCCTTTCCCCAGTGTGCACAGATGAAGAATAGCCACCCAGAGAATACCAGAGGAAGCCGTGTAGCTTGTACACCTCACCCCAAAAGCAAACCTAGATGGAGCTCACCTTTTTTATAGCAAAGACACCATTAAGCTTCACAGATTTCCTTTGTTAAGTATTGCAGTGTGATCCAGATCAAAGTCGCTTGCTCACAAGTGACTTGTTTTTAAGAAAGCAGAGGGACTTTTCTAACAAAGAGGATATCTTTTTTTCTTTTTAATTTAACATTTTAAGGACTGTAATGTAGATAAACTGTAATGCTCGCAAAGAATGGCTGTGGCTGCATATGGAGATAATCTGGTATTTTCCTTCGTAACACACAAGGAGGATATTCTCCAAGGCACTTCTAAATAACTGCATGGATACTAATGCATTTTAAACATTGCTTTCCACAGGAAGACTTCAGTTTCAGATTTTCCAAGTGGCAGAACATTAATGTTCTCTCTGTGCCCTTAGATACTRTACACTTTTTTTAGGGTATGTTCAGGAGAAAGGTTTATGTACATAAAAACACAGCTATATCCAGCCCTGTCCATTCAGTAGAAGGCAGATGATAGTTTAAAGAGGCACTGAAGACAATAGCAGAGTGGTTATGGTAGAAAGTATTTTTTATGTTTGGTCTTAAGCATCAGAAAGGCAATTGGAGAGTGCAAACACAATATGAATGACTCCAATAATAATGTCACTATGATCACAGAATCTGTCTTCTCTCACTCTGCTATTATGGTCTGATAAATTTCCTTCCTCAAAAGCAAAGAATATGTTTCCTACATAGAGTCTAGCCTTTGTTTCCTACATCATTTTATTTGTTTTGTCTTTAAGGGTTTTTTTTTTGAGCCTGCAAGATTCCTGTCATTGACGGAAGTATGTCCAGATGATCTCAATTCTGTACTTGTGTGTTGTATGGATAGCAAATCCATACATAAATCATTTTGGTGCTCAAAATGAGTAAGTTTTCTTCACATTAGCTTTAGACTCTGGATATACTGATACATACTGATTTTTAATGCTACATATGGCAACTACTTTTATTCTTAAAGGTTAACACTCATGTAATTTTGTGGAGAAATGGTGACCTAAATAGATCTGATAATCTTTTTTTTTTTTCCATGTATGCATGGAAAAAAATGCATTTATTTTTCCATGTATGCATTTTTTTTTCCCTGTTTGCAAAACATATGAAGTCTGAACAAGTGCTGTCAAACACATCTCTCTTTCCTGTATGCTGAGTTAGCTACTATGCACCTGTAAAGGAAGCAATTTCTTGCTTTCTAGGAAGTGAAATAAGCTACTGAATATGCTATTTTCCCATAGGCAGGATTTTATTGAGTTCTAAAAAAAGATCATACAAGTTTTGACTGCAACCTTAAACTGTGATTTCCACACAGAGAAGTACTATCTGSATTATCCACTATCTCAATTATCCACAGCAGGATTATGTTTTATTATGCCACCAGTCATTTTTTGGCATAGTCCATATAACTGTTGTACAGAGCAATGCAAATGCTGAATGTTTCATATAACAACATATAACATACTTACTTGGTACATCATTTAAATAACAGTGCAAAACCAGGGCTGGGATGTCAGAAAATAGACTATATGCTTTTGATCTATTGAACTCTGAGCAATCCAGCCCTTC